CTGAGTGGCCTCCCATGGTTTTTTAGGGGTGGGTGTGTAGACAGGAGAGATGAGCAGGGAGGGAGGGAAAGGCCAGTTTAGGATCTCCTGGGCGTTTGCCTCGACTGTGACACTTAACCTGTCCTGCCCATGTGCCCAACACAAAAATCGCTTCATCCTTCCCAAAGAGTAAACCAACTCCTCTCTCCTCAGCCCACGGGGATCCTACCTAAGCTTTAGTTCAGAGCCCCTGGAGAGCCAAGTGATTAAATAGAGCCTTAGGGGACCAGCTCACCCTTACACATCGAGAAGTTTCCTGCAGGGAGTGTGTGGCAGAGCCAGGAGGCAACAAGAGACGCTGGCCCCCACCCCAACCTTGGCGGATCCTGGGTGGCCAGCCCCACCGGGCAGCTGCCTCCCTGCCATGTCCAGAGATTTCATGTGCAAACAGGAAAGAACGTAACCTCCCACCCTGGCAGATTTGGGTCAGCAAATGGGCATGATTAGGCACAACCGCTGCCTGCGCAGCAGTCGTGTGCTTGGGAAAGCCTGCAGGTAAAGGTGAGACATACCACAGGACCCCCCACCTCCCAATCCTCAGCTTATTGCTGGAGTAATATATATTTACTGGAGACATGTGTTTACCTTGAAAAAACTAATTTTACCTGGCCAGGTCTCCTGTGGACTAGTCATTTCAGAAGAAACACACAGCTACACTTGCATTTGCAGGATCAGGGCCTTATTAAACCACATGGCTTGATACGCACATAAAGCATGCCTTGCAGGCCTGAAAAGTCTGGAGCCGGATTATTGTAGCTGCGCCAACTGAAATTTCCATGTGACTCATAAACAGCCAGATAAGTAATGAGCAGACTGACGGTGGCTCAAAGAGCTAACGAAGCTCCAAACTGCAGGACTGTGCATCTATTGGCACCGAGCAGGAGATTTCCAAATAGAACATTTAAAGGTGTATAGCATGAGCTATGAGACATGTTTATATTCGGAGCTTAAGTACTTGGTCAATATATATATGGACTAAGCAATTAAAAAGTAAAAAGTATGAAAAGACACAAGCAGAAGGTGGTGACAGGACAGAAAATAATGTGTGAGAGACTGCATGATCCCCATAGCAGGAACTGATTAAATGTGTGTAAATGGAAACTGTCCCTTGGAGTTCAGGCTGCTGGAACAAAGAAGGTAGAAGAGAACAACATCCCAAATCTTTGCAATTCCTGTATTTATCCTGTGGGAAAGCTTTAAACTTAACACTGTGGCTTAACGCTCACTCTTCAGCCCTGTTTCAGCTTTCCAAAGAGATGCTGTCAGGCTAATCCTGTTAGGCTTATCCTTAGCATATCGACACGAGAGATACAAGTGACACACAAGGCAGAGTGGGGTCCCTCTGCCTGCATGCAGAGCTTTGTGGGACCGTGGCTGCTTATCAGAGCAGCTGGTTTTTTCACCTTTGCCCCTAGATCTGATTGTGTACACAGCTGCGCTGTTACACATGCCAGGCTTCCCAGGCTGTAAGAAGAGTACTTTCTTGTGATACGATTCCAAAATGCCTTAGATTATCTGCAAAAAGTCACCTGTCCACTAAGAGACTGCAGCCAATATGGCGCAGGAATAAGCCCTCAGGCAGAGTCTGTTTTGCGTCCTCCCCTGTCTCATGCCACCTCAGAATATCCCCGTTATTTGCTTTTTACTTACGCTGCAGTTTCCAATCACTTGTAAAGGGTGGCTGCTCGCAGGGCTTCCATTCAGAGGCAGGAGAGATTCTGACAAAAACAGGGGGATGTAGTAAAATTAGGAATTTTGTGGAAAGTCTGGTCTAGTTTGGTATCAGACAGGTTTAAAAACTAACAACATGCCCCTCTAGACTGTAAGTGTCTGGGTCTCCCCCCAGGACATTTAAATATTGTGCAGAGAGACAACAAAAGATCATCCAGTAATAAAACTCACCCTGGTGCTTACTGTTGTCCAAGTGCAACCTGCTCAAACTCTCTGCCACTTTGTTATAGTTGAAACAAAAGGCCACCCTGCTCCTGCTAGAAAGAGATGTTACAATGAGCTACCTGTGCTATCAATTTATAGCAGGGGAAATAAGTAATAATTTCTTTGGTCAAAGCTGCAGGGAGATTAGCTCTGCAATGCACGAACATCCAGCTGGAGCCATGCCAGGGCACAAGGATTAAAAGCAACCAAATTCCTAACTCTAGTGAAAAGGATGCATGGGACATTATTAAAATAAATGTTTAGTTCTACAAATGTAGGTACAAGGTGAGAACATGCCCTCTCTGGAGGCATGTTCAGACATTGGGGAAGCATCTCCCCTTTTTCTCCTCCCTGCTCTGCCTTCCCTGATTAGCTGGACTCTGGCTGCTTGAAAGAGGTAAAAAAATAAGAGTGGAGATGAATTGCTCCTGTGCTGCTGCCAAGACATGGGTTTCTGATCAACTCTCTCCCTACTTATAAACCTCCCGTTTGTACCACCATGGGGGACAGGCTTCTCAGTGCTTCCTGAGCAGCGAGAAGGGGAAGTCACGCTACAATCAGCGACTGAAGAAGGGAGGCTGAATCTCCTGCAGCGCCTGAAAAAAAATCTCTCAACACAACCATTTGTAAGACAGCATTTCTTTATTGCCTGTACTCTGCTTGCACACTAAGAAAACATGCTTAAGGTTGTACATTAAAAAAACCCACGCTGTAGTTCTTGCCGTTGCAATATGACAGCGCTGATAAAGGTAATAAATAGACTGGCCTGTATTTGTGTGTCAGCTGTATTTCACACCTTTGTCTTTCATGTGCTCTGTACACAGCGTGGGAGGTGCGCGTTCAGACCGCGTTAGCAGACTGGCTACTGCTCTCTTCCTTCTGCAGCAACTTCCCAAATCCTGCTGCTGCGGGTAAGTCAATGTTAGCATTACTGATGTGCCCCAACCAAAGGTGCCAGTTCTTAGTCAGCGCCACTCCTTATTAACCTCTAGCTGGAGCATGATGCAGAGGAATCGTTGACAGCAGCTCCCCCAACTCAGGTAGTGGGTTTGACCTCTTCCACAGGTGATAATGTCTGTGCTCCTTCATGCCCACATTGGCTAGAAAGCCAGAAAGCCACGTCTGTGTTAAGATTACAGGTGGTTTCTGAAAACAGAGAGGATTTCCCTCCCTAAACATTGTTTTTTGCAAACACAAGCAGTTCCACTGGCAGCACTGCTGGTGTTACTCTACACTCCACGCCAGCAGCCCTGGTTCCTTCTGGACCTCTTCTAACTTTCTGATTCCCACTCTCTGGAAGGCGTTACTGCAGTTAAACACAGCGTGAACCACAGCCAGCCAGCAGTAAGGACTGAGCAGGAGCTTATTACTTTTAGCTATTCCTTTTAGTCAGAAATCCTGCTCTTCCGGAGAAAAACTTCCTCTTTCCTATCAGGAGCAAAGGGCACTGGGAGGAACCATGGAAATTCTTTGTAATACTGATGGGCTGTAGGTGACTCAGAGCACTCTTCCTGCATGGGATATTCCCAGAGAAATTTGTGCCATAAACAGACATTCAGAGTAATCACCTTATCCCAAGAGAGGAAAGACAGTGGATAAATAAAGGCCTTCCCTATGCTGCAGGACTGGGGGGACTGCTTCACAGCTGCAGTATCACATCTTGTGCCTAAAATGTCAGTCACATACAGAAACAGGCTCAAAGAAGAAAGGGAACAGGGCATTACAAAAAAAGCTCACTTAGTCCCACAAGGCTTTAAGAGCAACTGAGCTACAAAACAGAAAGCATCACACCCCAGAGAACACCAGGGGCTTCATGCCCAGGCACAGCTATGCCGAGAGGTGCGCTTTTGGGGCCGGTTCCTACCTCAGCCCACGCGTCCCCTCGCCCTGCTTTGCCCTGCCCCTTAGTGACAAGAAGGCCCCTTCCCAAGGGGAACAGTTTCAGTCCTGCTCTTTCTCAGGCCCTTCACCAGGAAAGTGAGGTTATTGCACAAGATCCCTGCAAGAGAAAAACTTCACTGGGTACGTTTCACGCAGGCAGCTGCCTTGTGCTTCCAGGCCAGGTATGTTTGAGAGTACTGTGGTCAAGCTAGCAGGGTGGGATCTTCCAGTACTGCACGTAAGTCAGTCCCTAGTTGCTGGAAATTCTTCAGGAAAGGATAAGAGAATGGGAGGAAACAGGCAGGATTCAGCCTTAAAACAGGCTATATATGGCCCCCTAGTATGTACAGCACAGCTCCCGCAACGGGTTATGAATCAGCAGCACGTGAGTCCCAGGGCAACTGCTCTGTGTTCTGTAAACAGTAAGAGAGGGACAGTGACAAGGTCCATTAGGGTAACAAAGTGAAGAAAGCCATCGGGATGACTCGTTTCATCAGGTCATGCTATATCCACATATGGAATCAGTTAACTACAATATTGGCAAGTCAAACCAAATTTCACAGTACATACAGGGCCTGATCCAGATCTTACGGGAACTTGCCACAGCAGGCTTTCAGCTGGGCTCTGCTCTTACAGAACCAAGAGGAGATGCTGCTCTTTGAGACGGATGGATCACTACCTAGAGCTAGCCCAAATTTAAAATAATTTCTTCATCTCTTACACTAAAATCCTATTTAACACAGCACGCACTGTGTCCTTCACTTTCTGCTGCTAGGCCACTTCTTTGCCAGAAAGAAAAGGAACAAGACTTCTTCCTTTTACAGGGAAGCGACCTCTCCAGACAGAAGAGGAGCCCCAGTTTGTGCTATTAGCCAAGACCAACCGAGTTGCCCCAAAGAAGCAGAGGCCTCCAGAGACCAGGGCTGCGTGCAGAGTTGGGAAATGGAACAGTGCAGATCGTATGTTCATTTTGGCCTCATTTAGTGCCTTGAAATTCCCAGATGGGGAAAAGCTGCAGCTTCCTCAAGTCTCTGCAGAGCTGATACCATCAGATTCAGCTTGCTTGAAAGGAACCCCAGCTTCATGAAACAGTGTCGGCACATGTCTCTTGCTGACACATTGATGTGCCTTATGCACAGCACCCTTTCCTCCTACTGACATCTTCCAGCTGCAGGGCATTCTCCCTCTGCCTGTCTTCTTGTGCTGTCAGCAACCTGGAACAAGCAGCATAGATCAAGAACACAACCCCGTTACTGAGATCTTCCTGCCAAGGCATTTGGCTCTGCCCTTTGCTCCCCATCAGCCAGGGACATTTAGGATTGTAAAAAGCAACTGGCCCAAAGACCGGGCTTCTCTGGAAGTTGGGCTAGATAAACCACACACAGAAAATAAGCATGAATTTCCAGGGAACAGGGAAAGAAACTGGACACGTACAAGAGGGGACAGCATGGCTTAGCAGTCAGAGCCCCAGACCGGGGCGTGAGTGGTCTGTGCCTTATTCCCAAGCTCCCACATTGATGGCAGAACCCCAGGCTGTTTGCTTCACCTGTCTGGGCCATCTCAGGCAGCAGCATGGTAATAAAGCACATTGAAGGCACATGGTATGGGAGGCATGATTTACCTAGCTGGTAAGTAAATCATCCCAGTTAATGAACAGCTAAGTCCTGCTGTGAATTTAACAGAGATGATACAGCAGGAGGTGAAGGGATAAAAGAAAAAAAAAGGATCTTTTTCTTGCAAGATTTCAAAGACTTTTTTCAAAACTACTTGCTTTTTTAAAAACTGAAAATCTTAGAGCAAACTTCTTTCAGCCTTACAAAGTGTCTTATCTCCCTTTAAAAATATTGCCACCAAAATACCACATTCTGTACAATGCTTAATAAGATAAGGAAGAAAAAACCCTTAGAGATGCATGCAGACTTCAAACTGAAAATGCCAACTTGAAATCTGGGATACTACACAATGTTTTTGTGATGAAATATTCAAATTAAACTCCCAATCTTTCAACAGCCAGCTCTGCCAGATGAAGCTTTGCATGCGATAACGTCCAGTCTACACTTGGTGCTCTCCAGGCAGGGAAGACAAGGACCTGGAGTCAGGGGGAAGAGCGAGCACGTTGCTCCAGGTCTTTTTTGTGACATGGCAGAAAGTCAATCTCTGACAACCCCCTCTTCTTGCCCATTCCCCCGGAGAGCCCACGCCAATCACCTACAGCTGGGGAAATATCCCAGGGTGACTGTTCCTGTTCACTGACCTGGCCATGTGCAGCATGGGCTCCATGATGTTATAGCCAGTCATCGCGCTGCACTCGTAGAAGACAGCCTTGTACTCCTGCCAGAGAGCACAGCAAGCACCCATGTTGGCGGCCAGCTCTCCCCCACCATTCACTCACACCCCTGGGAGGTGGCCCACCCTCGCTGCTGGGAACTCTGCCGAGAGCAGCTGGGGGCAGGAGGGTGTCAGCATTGGGGGCCCAGGCAGAATGTCCGAAAAGGAACACTGGGGGAGCTATCTGGGAAGAGAAAACATCTGCCCAGGGTACTTGGATTCCCTTACCTTTGTGTGGCGGAGTCCAGAAGATGGGGAACACCTCTGAAACCCTGCCTCCCCCCCAGGGGCCAAGGTACCAGTGGGCATGCAGACGCAGGGAGCGAGGAAGGAGGCAGGACGATTTTGCAGAGCATGCATTAGGGGAGTCCTCAAATGGGAAAACAGCCATGCATGCATGCTCCCCTCAGAAAGACTGAGCATCACTGTAAGGAGGCGTCAAGCCTCAAGAGAAATACATGAGCGTGCCTCAAGGGCCGTTGTCTGCCACATGCTGGCCACCACCTCATCCTCCCTGGTACCAGAGGGACCTTGGAACATGTTTGCATTGGAGAAACAGGGGGCAGGGGGGGAGGGAAGGTACCATGCTGGGAAATGGCTCCAAGAAGGGCTTCCTGCCAGCCAGGCTGCCCTGCTTAGAGCGGGAGGGAGGCTGCAGAGCAGGTCGAGCAGCAGAGCACAGAGTCACACCTTCGCCAGCCTTTCCCCCTCCACCTTGGGCACATTCCGGGTCTCTCTCTGCGCAGCATCCATTTTATTTCCAAGCAGAAAGACCACAGCTCCATCCTCGATACCTTCCTGCAAAAGAAACAGAGTAAAGCACCCTAGAAACTCAGCTGAGGGAGGGAAATATCTTGGAGCAGATCCTGTTCCAGCTCATGCAAACAAGACCTTCAGTGGCAGCAGGATCAGGCTCTTTAGCTCATTAAAGGGCCATTCCTCAAATAGCCCCAGGGATTTGTGGAAGGAAGCTTAAACTACAGGAATGTATTTCAAAAGTTTGGTATGTACAGCTGGGATGCTGAGAGAGGGGAGACAGGACATAAGTTAGTCTCTGGGAAATAACAAGCCTAAAGAAAAGCAGTTTGCCCCATAGGTGTTCGGAATTTAAGCTCAGGCAGAGCTTCTTATTAAGTTCAATAATTTTTGTGTGTATGTGCGGTACTATTCGTCTGATGTGCTGTCCTAAACTCAACCATCCCTTGCTGAAAATCCACTGGCTAAGCAAGCTAAGCAACTTTCAACTCTTGTATAGGGTCTCTGTAGGAACTGTTATTCCTAGGTGATTCCTGGAGCCCATTACCTTTGGTAAAACTCCCTCTAGTTCCACTGGCTCACTAGAACATCACCAGAGTAAGGACTGCAGAACGGGGCTCCAAGTTATTTCCAAATTTGACTGCCCTGGATGACTTACAGTACTTGAACAGCTTCAAAGCAAGATAAATACTAAGATGGTGAAAGGAAAAGAAGAGAGATTATTAAAAGTTACAGATTTTGGGTGCTTTGATTTTCTGTGTGCTCAGTTTAACCTTCCTGAAAGGAGCTTGATTTTCAGCGGCTGGTTAGTTTTGAAAATCTTAACCTTTGATCCTTTAGAGTCCAAAGAAATAGCTAAGTGTTGTTCCCTACCCCACCCTACCCCCAACAGGCCTGTGGAAGTTAATAATATTAGAAACCTCCAACCTATGCTTACTCATTTCATTTAGATCTTGGTTTCTGAGACGCGGCACAATCAAAACAAAACCACCCTTAACAATTTCCCTTCAGCTCTGAGTCATCTACACACAACTTACTTAAATTAAACAGACAGTAGTTTTTGTCTCCACTAGCAGATACAAGCCACAGATGAATGCTTTTATTGAGAGTTTGGAAATAAAAAGCAGGGGGGCAGACTACGGTATCAATATACAGTCACCAAATAAAAAAGAACGGGTGGGGGGAATCAACTGTTAAACTTGAAGCAAACGAGGAAAAAAAAAATAAGCTATTACTAATATTTCAGTCTCATCTAGCCATCTCAAAGCAGAGTCAGGATGTGATCATGCGAAGCGCTGTGCATGCATGCTGCAGGTCTGAGCCTAAACGCACCAGGGCCGTCTCCCTTTCCTGTGCATAGGCTGGACACCAGGAGATCTTGCCTGAGCAGAGGTGTGATGTGACCACGTTTAGGAGACGTTGCCAATGCACGTGGGCTGCTTACAAACACACACTACTGTTTTGGCAGGTCCCACCACCTTCTGCCATAGAAACAGCCCTCCCTCATTTAATGGGCTACCACTGGCTTTGGTATCTTCAACAAGAAGCCCCTGGTCCCAAACTGACTACCACAGGCAGTACCCATAGCATCTGCTTTGGTAATTCATCTTCCCATGGTCAACAGGACCTCCTGGGGCATCGGAGAACGTCGCTCCCAGACAGACTGCTGGAGCTGCTCTGCAGCAAGGCAGCGGCAGCACCACCAGCATTAGAGGGCCGAGGCCCAGCTCTCACCTGGACGCTGCTCATCCAGTTCCGCACCGCTGTGAAGGAGCACTCGGCCGTAATGTCGTACATCACCAGAATCCCATCTGCCTTCCGGAAATACTGCTTGGTAATGCTCCGAAACCTGAGCCCAAATGAAACCAAAGGCACTCTCAGAACCACGGCTGTGTAATGACAAGAAGCAGAACAGGATTATCTGTCTTTTAGTGCAGGCTCTCTGCAAGGCCTGGCAGCCCCTGTGTGTGAGATGTCCCCTGGGGCTGGTGTGTACAGGCTGGCGACAGACAGGTCAGATCCTTGCACCTTTGAGGCAGGCCAGGCAGCCATGGGTAAGCAGGAGTCTTTCCAAACGCATGGTGCTGAGAAAGCAGGAAGACCTTCGCAGGTCAGGAGGAAAGAAACAGAAGAATCTGTTTAGGTGGGACAGGAAAAAGGAATTGCCCATAAAATTAGGGTTAGAAGATCAGGTTCGAGACCATCTAAGGAACCTGAAGGTGCACAAGTCCATGGGACCCGATGAGATCCATCCGCGGGTCCTGAAGAAACTGGTGGATGAAGTTGCTAAGAATTTGAGAAGTCGTGGCAGTCCAGTGAAGTTCCCACTGACTGGAAAAGGGAAAACATAACCCCCATTTTTAAAAAGGTAAAAAGGAAGACCTGGGAAACTACAAGCCAGTCGGTCTCACCTCTGTGCCTGGGAAGATCATGGAACAGATCCTCCTGGAAGCTATGCTAAGGTACGTGGAGGACAAGGAGGTGATTCGAGACAGCCAGCATGGCTTCACCAAGGGCAAGTCCTGCCTGACCAACCTAGTGGCCTTCTATGATGGAGTGACTACATCAGCGGACATGGGAAGGGCTACCAGATGTCGTCTATCTGGACCTCTGTAAGGCCTTTGACACGGTCCCCCACAACATCCTTCTCTCTAAACTGGAGAGAGATGGATTTGATGGGTGGACTGTCTGGTGGGTGAGGAATTGGTTGGATGGTCGCATCCCGAGGCATAATGCCTGGATGGAGATCGGTGACAAGTGGTGTCCCGCAGGGGTCCGTATTAGGACCAGTACTGTTTAAGATCTTCATCAATGACATAGACAGTGGGATCGAGTGCACCCTCAGCAAGTCTGCAGATGACACCAAGCTGAGTGGTGCGGTTGACATGCCT